CCATGGATGGGTATGAAGCTACTAGGATTGTGCTCTCTAGAATCCAAACCTTAGACCCAGAAAACGCATCAAAGATCATGGGTCTTCTCCTTCTTCAAGATCACGGTGAGAAAGAGATGATAAGGCTAGCTTTTGGTCCTGAGTCTCTAGTTCACTCTGTAATAGTGAAAGCCAAGAAAGAGTTAGGTCTTATGAGCAGGCCTACATGGAGTCAAGAGGAGTTAATTAGCCCTAAGAACAACAATCGTGGCTCTTCTCTCAATCCAGCTTCTTTACCCTTCTACGGAAATGGAGGAAGATCTTCTAGGGATTTAACCAACGATCTCGAGTTCATGGATGATGTGAACTCAAGAGCTGATTTTTTGGGCTCTGTGCATGCGAGAAGTGGTAGCTGCGTCTTGGATGGTTTAGGGTATGGTGATTCTGATTTAGGGTTTGGTGGTGTACCTTGTTCTTACTTCGCTAGAGGCTTCTGCAAGAATGGAAGTAGCTGCAGATTCGTTCACAGTGATGCAGGAGACTTGGTTGGGTCTCCGAGCAGAATCGAGCTTCTTAGGTCTAACTCTGTACCTCCAAGACTCGCTCACCACTTCATGACTCGCTCTTCTCTTCCTTCTTTCTCTCCTAAAGGTGTAAACTTGCAGCAGAACGAAGCTCAAAGGTTTGACCTTTTTTTTTTTTTTTACATTGTTCGTTCATATTCAAAGTGTTTGTTTTTTACTTAACTTGTGTGAATTTGTGGGCAGAGCTGCTGCTGCTTTGATGATAGGAGAGGAATTACAGAAGCTTGGAAGATGGAGACCTGATAGGATTGATCTCTCTGCTATGGCTTGTCCAGCTTCAAGACAGATCTATCTCACATTTCCTGCCGACAGTAGGTTCAGGGAAGAAGATGTGTCCAATTACTTCAGGTAATGACTTGCTAACAGAATCAACTCACTTCTCTTTGGTCTTTGAGTGTATGTTCTTGTGTGACTTTAAGATGTTGTTATGGTTGGTATAGTACTTTTGGACCAGTTCAAGATGTGAGGATACCTTATCAGCAAAAGAGGATGTTTGGATTTGTGACATTTGTGTATCCTGAGACTGTAAAGAGCATTCTCGCCAAAGGAAACCCTCACTTTGTATGTGATTCCAGGGTTCTTGTTAAGCCTTACAAGGAGAAAGGCAAAGTCCCTGACAAATACAGGTACTACTAGTAACTCTCACACTTGAGCCTCATTGTTCCTTGAATCCTCGTGTTTACCGCGCTTTTATTATCCTTTTTGTGTAGAACTAACCCAACAGCAGAGCGAGAATTGTCTCCGACTGGCCTTGATTCTAGCCCCAGAGATGCTTTAGGTCAATAATACTCTAAAAACCTTATCTTTTTGTAGTGAACCTTTTGATTGCCCCTATACTGATTTGTTTGTTGCGTAGGAGGGAGAGGGTTTTATAACAACAGTCAGGATGTGTTGTGGAGGAGTAAGTTTGAAGAAGAGATTCTTGAGCTTCAGAGCAGAAGGCTGATGAATCTGCAGCTTCTCGATGTCAAGAAGCATTTCCAACTCAATTCCCATACCAACATTCATTCCTCGAATCCTTTCAGCCATTCACTTATATCTCCTCGCCCATTGTCCGTCGTCAAGAGAGAATACGAAGGTGGAGAGAAAGGGAAAGGAAGTTCCAAAGAAGGATCTGATGATGATTCAATGAATCTACCAGAGAGGTAGGTTTATTCATGAGTTTTCTGCGAGGAAACTATTACTGTATTTGAAGGTCGAATAAGCAAGTTTTTTTCGGAATGTTTTACAGGTTGGAGGATAGCTTGCCAGACAGTCCATTTGCTTCGACCGCACATCATTTGCATCTGTTTTCTGATTCTGCAGACAATAACGGATCGGATATATGGTCGCCTTCCTCTGATAACGATGATAATTCTACTCCTTCTACACTCTCTGACTCCTTCAACTCTTTCAACTACCAAATGCCAAGGTTATGAGATTCAACCAAAATTTATGTTTCTGATATCAACTACTGTAATGTATATCTAACATTGTTCTTATGAATCTTAATTATATTAGGGTATCACCGATTGGAATGTTACCCGGTAGGGGTGGACCGACTTGTCGTGTCGGGATATAAACAGGTAAAAAGAGTAGAGGAATGGATGGTGAGGAGAAAACAACAATTTTGTTATGTTTAACAGTTTCTTTTTTTTTCTTGTGTTGCAGGAAAGAGATGTGAGAAAAACAGAGGAAGTTTAAAAAAAAAACTGATAATATAGAAACCCTTAATAACCAAAAGATGCAGAGATGTAAAAAATAAAAAAGCAGGAAATTTGATGTAAGAGATAGAGAAGAGAAAGAAGAAAGATATTGTTGTACCATTTCTCTAGTTTTAATGTGTAATGTGATGGACCACACAAG